TGAGTTATGTGCGATTTTTATCAAATTGGAAATTATCTGGACATTGAAAAATATTGCTTCAGTACAAGTAAAGCTTTGAAACATTATTTTATAGGATTTCTGGTAATTTGATTATTTTCTGAAACTGTGTATTTTAACTTTGTTTTGAAATTATGTCGACTGTACGATATTTTGTTGTTCTGTATGAATGTGCATATATGATTGAATTACTTTTATTGTTACTGAAAGATAAGTAAAGACTGGTTGAACCGTTGGTTGGAGATTGATAGACCTGACAGGATGGTGGGCCGATGAGCTTTCCTTTAAAAAGGGTTTGGTATTATCCTCTATTGATCATTGATACAATGATTGGGAGTCATAAGGAGATTATTCTGCCGACGGGCAAGAGTGACGACTCTTATTGAGCCAACGAATACAACGATACATCGATATTCCAAGATTAAAAAACGCCGTAATAGTCATGTCTTTTACTTGTTGAGTAAAGGCTTGTTGAACCGTTGGTTGAAGATTGACCTGTCAGGATGGTGGGCCGACGGGCTTTCTTTTAAAAAGGGTTTGATGTTATCCTCTATTGATCACGTGATACAATGATTGAGAGTCATAAGAAGTTTATGCCGACGTGCAAGGGTGTCGACTCTATTATAGCCAACATATTACTAACATACTAACCTTGAAAAACACCTTAATAGCCAGTAATTGTACTTGTCGAGTAAGACTACTGTACTGGAATGCATTTGTAAAGTATTGTTCTTATGATCTCATTATGGATTTACTGATTTATCGATATCTACTGATTCATTGATATGGAATTGATTTATGGATTTTGAATGGATTTATTGATATGGAATTGATTTATTAATATTGAATGGCTTTACTGTACAGATTTATGAGTTTCCTGTCATTGTACGATTTCATTATTATTTCATACTGTACATGTCACTGAATACAAATACAGATTTGATATTACATTGATTCACTGATACTACGGATACCGATATTATTAATTCATCGATATTATGGATTCATTGATACAGACACCGATATTACTGATTCACCAATACTACTGATTCATTGTACTGATCTTATAGCACATGATACACCGAATACTGACTGGTAACATGTGATACACTGATATATGTGATACACCGAGCACATGATATAGAATACGATTTTATTGCATTGATTGATTTCAACTCTTTTTAACGATGTATTGATTTGATTGTTTTATATGATTTCATATCGATTAATATTAACGATCGGAATTGATTTCTCTTGATACTGACTGATATGATTGATCCGATGATTTATATATAGATTTGATGCATGTACTGATTCATTGAGTTTTATAGACTTTCCTACTGATTATTGAATTTTACTGATTATGCATTGATTTTTGTTTATGTACTGATTTTTGTATCTGCATCGATTCCATAATCATGTGTAACTGACTGCTATGATGTGACTGATTGACTTGCATATTGTTTCAGTACCGTGCTCTAATTTCAGTTGTAGGCTTTGGTGATCTGCTGGGCTTTTTGAAGCTCATTATATGTGATTAACAATTTCAGGTCTGAGCAAGGGAGCAGGAAGTGATGGTTGATCAAGACTGTCGATGAATCCTTTCACTATAGACGCCTGGATGTCACAGCTATTGTATCAGATAGAGATGGATGTTTTACATCCAAATTATGGAAGAGTATATATGAAAGTTTGGGCACAAGATTGAAGTTCAATACTGTATTTCATCCACAGACAGATTGTCAATCAGAAAGATTGATATAAGTACTGGAAGATTTATTAAGATTGTGTATTCTTGATTTTAGAGGTAGTTGGGAAGACCATGTTTCATTGATAGAGTTCACTTATAATAATAGCTACCAATCCATTATCAACATGGCTCCATATTAAGCTTTATATGACAAAAAAATGCAAAACTCCATTGAGTTGGTTTGAAATTGGTGAAAGGAAAATGTTGGATCCACAATTAGTGGATCAAACTACTAAAAAGATCATATTAATTAGAGACATATTAAAAGCAGCTCAAGATCATCAATAGAAATATTATGATCCAAAGCATAAATTGGTAGAATTCGAAGATAATGTCATGTTTACCTAGGCTCCATTGAATAAGATTATGAAAGTGTAGTCAAATCTTTTACAAATAAAAGTTTGTATTCAGTGTAAATTTTAGAAGAAGTAATGTCAAATGTTAATTATAATCTTATAATGTTTTATAAGGGTAAGTTTAATCAATGATGATTTTAATATTTTAATTTATTACAAGTATTATATTTTAACTATTACTTAATTTACATAATTTATTAAGTCTCATAGCTTAGCAATATCTTTCTTATTGATTGCTATTACAAGAAAGGGAAAAGAAAAGGTTGAATAAGACTAAGTTGCAGGAATTTTGATTTTATATGCTAGTTTTTAAATATGTGTGTCAGCCTATGTCTGAGGTATGTAGACAGTTCAATGAGTTTTTATTTTGGTTTATGTAGTGGCTCTATAAGTTCATATTTGAAGTAACTTGAAGTTTAGATGCTTCCGTGTATTCAATAAATGATATGTTATTAAAATTTTTAAAATTTATAGTGAATGAAATGTATGTAAATGTTTAATGATGGAAAAATATGTTTATGCGAGTGATGCTTTACAGTACTATTAAGAGGTACTGTGGGGTGTTACAAATGCTTTTTAAAACCGTTTCCTAGCACAAAAATTCAAATTTAAAATTTTTTTGTGCTAGAAAACTATTTAAAAAAAATAAGAAAAAAACCGTCCCAAATGAAGCCTTAGCCTCTATTGCTTCACTGATGTGTGAATCAGCTCTGTTCGCTCAAATTTAATCTCATCCGTCCAGTTCCATTAGTTGAATAAACTCCAAATCTAATCAATCTGCACCTCAAGAACTTGCATATTCCCTAGACCCGGAGCAGTCAACCTTGGGCGATTCCCTCTTGTCTAATATGTTTCCTACTTGGCAGTTCAAAATCATTGTTCTTCCTCAAGCCTAGAGAATCGACGCTTGGTGTACATGGTCTATTTCATGAGAATAAAATTGATTCTTATACTGTTTCACCCGATCAAAAAGTAAAGAAGAAAGGGGGAAATGCTTAATAATTATTTTTAAACATTAAAAAAATAAGATTGTAGAAGAATGATTCTAGTATCTTAAATTGATATTGTTATATTATGTGATGAAAAAAAATAAATGAGAATAGAATTATTTTTTGCTCAATTTGAACTTACTAGAATCATTGTTCTACAATCTTAAAATTGAAAAATAATTGATATTGTTATTTAAAATGTATTTAACTGCTTTTAAATATTCAGCAAAAATATTTGATAAAAGAATATTTAAAAATTTAGATTGGTTTGTGTGGCTTACTGAGCTGTTATAGCTCACTGTAGTTTTAATTCTGTTTTTTAGGATCTGAAAAGGGGAAAGAGGTTGTGGACTAGCAGTTCTATATCAGATCTGAGATCATAGGTATTTTGCTTTTTTTTTTTAATTTTTTATACAATCATAACTAGTTAAAATGTTTAGTTCTGTAGCACTTACCTGTAGCTATGTAATATAGTATAGATATTTATTTTAATGAAATAAAAGAAATTTGGCAGATGAGTTTAATTTTAGTATTTGAATATTTTAGTAGCTCTATAGTTTGTAGTTTATTTCAATAAATACTGACAGAAAATTTGAAATAATTCCAAAACTAAATCTTGGGATTTGCTTGTCACACCTCAACACGATAGGACCTGTCCTGATTGGGTTGAGTTGTGACACTTTCCGACCTCCGTCGCCTGCCGACTATGGTCATTCCGATCTCCAACACGCGTCGACTACGGTCTTTCTGACCTCTATCGCCTGCCGACTAAGGTCCTCCCGTACTCTGTCGTCTACCGACTATGGTTCTTTCGATCTACATCGTCGACTACGGGCCTTCTGACCTTCGTCGCCTACCGACTACAATCCTCTCAACCTTTATTGCCTGCCAACTATAGTCCTCTCGACCTCCGTCGTCTGCCGACTATGGTCCTTCCAACCTTCATAGTCGACTACGGTTGTCTCGACCTCCATCATCAATAGTCCTTTGGACCTCTGTCACTATACTACGGTCTTTCCGACCTCCAATGCTCGTTAAATACGATCCTTCTGACCTCCGTTGCCAGACAACAGTCCTCTTGACCTCTGTCGCCCGCGGAGTACAGTCCCATCGACCACCGTCACCTGATTTCGATCTTTCCGACCTCCGTCAGTTGCCGACTATGGTCTTGCCGACCAAACAAACATTTTTATTATTGTAATTCCCACTATGTAATGCACTATATATGATGTATATTGTTACATCAAGTTATGACCTTCTCCTAAGGAAAGGCCTCATTTGTAATCGACTACAAATACTAGTTGATTCATTCAAACTAGGCTAGGCCTCGTGGTTTTGCCCCCTTTTTTAGAGGTTTCCACGTAAAAACTTTGGTGTCTCTTATCAATAACGCACCCTCTCTTTCATTTATAAGCATGCCAAATTTTCGTAAAATGCTAAGATGCTGAATGCTATATTTATTTCTCTAAAGTCATGAATATTCCAGGAGGCAACAAGTCCAAAACAAGAAGGTTTTCACATTGTTTATTAATTTATTGACTTTGTGCTCATCAGGCAAGATTTTAAGAGATAGAATAATGTTAAATGGAAATTGATTTGCTAAAAAACGTATAAAGTAGAAAAAATATATATTTTTTCTACTTTATTGACTATATATCAGCTAGTTTAGCTAATAAAGATTTTAAAAGTTATTATCAAAGTCCTAAGTTTGAATCTTCACTTCGCATTTAATTTATGTTATTTCAATCAAGCACTTCTTTAATAGAAGAAGTCTTCCTAGAAATTAATTAGGTTAAAAAAGAACTTTTTCACTTAAAAAATAATAATCCATCCATATATATTTACATAAAATTTCGTATCATAATCATTTTATATTGGGCAATCATGTAAGAAGCCTGAAAAGCAAAAGGAGCTTTCATACGCATGCTAATATAAACTTTTTCAAAAGAAGAGTTCAACACTTTTCAAAAGACAATAAGTGATACAAGAAAGCTAAACTTAGTACTCCCAAAGAAAAAAAGAAGAAGAAGATAGCTTAAAGTCAATAAGGGGAAAGAAAATAAGAGCTCCCTCATCAAATTTGAAGCTTGCTTACAATATCTGCAACAAAGTCTAATTTCCTTAACAACAGTTCCTATTTGAAAGATGGGAGAAAGTAGCAGTACTAATAGAAGAAGATTGCCTTCAGTAATATTAAGCTATTACACGTGAGGGTTGCTCCTGAATGATCCCAAGGCCTTGAGAGCTCCTGCCCTCAGCACATATTGATGGTATGCTGCTGCTATCGCCGCACCGATGAATGGCCCCACCCAAAATATCCACTGTAATGTGTACAATTTGTAAATTGTTAGCAGGTTGAGTATGATATACCAATGATTAAGTATAACTAAATCAAAAGTTTAAACTTATGACTATATTTATCAAAAATCTAATATGTGATTAAAATCAATACTATCATATGTTGAAGTCGCCAAAGATGCCATTTAGGTGTAGTATTTTGATTGGATTAGGCCGACTCGGATGATTTGACGGAAAAGTTTAAAAGTTTATCCTATAGGTTATGTTAGGTTCTGATTCGGGTTCGAAAGATTCAGACATGAAATATGTGAAGATTCAGATTTTGTTTAGGACAACTTTCTTATTGCTTTCAAAGTAGCTTTCTTGTACAAAAATTTATTGTTCAAAAAAATTTTGTACTAAAAAGCTGCTTTATAAAGCAGTTAGAAAGTTGTCCCAAACGAAGCCTCAATTCAAAACTTGGGAGGGGTGGATTGGCAAATTCCAAACCTAACATAATAAAATTAACCATAGAAGGTTACCTGCTATGTAAGGAATATCACATGGATTTGAACCTACCTAATTCAACCTATTTAACAAGAGCATAGATCAATAGCCAAAGGAGAAGTAGGATTATTAATGCCTTAATCGTACTAGGGATAGGGTTTTTCCTCAATGATACTTTGATTGCTTTCAAGAAAGCAAGTAGTAATGGTCAAAAAGGTATATTGCATCCAAATTCTAACCCATTGAGAAAAGAACATTTGGATTCACTATTTTTAAACACCATTAGCAGTCCTTGAGGTTTATAGAAATAGCTTGTATAGATTATTTTAAAAAAGATTGATAATTTTTCTATGGAAATGATTGCAATCATTTTATAGCTCAAACTTAATACAACAAATGTATAAAACAAAATTTTACCTGATCATCCCAAGCCTTATCCTTATTATATATGACAGCAGCACCAAGACTACGTGCAGGATTAATGCCAGTTCCAGTGATTGGAATGGTGGCGAGGTGGACCATAAACACCGCAAATCCAATGGGAAGAGGGGCCAAAACCTTGAACAAAACACAAAAAATGGTAAGATATTGCATAATAAGGGAATAGGTGTTTATAAAATAAAATTGCAAGATAAATTCATGAGATAGTGATTGAATTAAGAGTTGATGCAAAGAGAAGTTCAAAACTGAATTATTGGGTGCCCATGGTGATAAAGACCACAGAGTCTCATGCAAAAAGGAATGGAATCACTAATTGGGTCCTACTTGCTTTATCAATTTGGAGGTTCCCCCTTCCACTTGGGGGGTCAACATCTTCTTGGCTATAACTTGTTTAAATTGTAATTGAGAAACTTCTAGCAGCTCACAACAAATTTAGAAATGATGACATGGGCAAATTGCTCATTACTTTAATCTTTCTCTTACAGCTACAAGTTTTTCCATCTTTATATGCTTATTCAACTTTTTTTCTTGAATAGCATTGATGGTGTAGAAAATATGACTAAAAAGCAGGATTTCTTAAGTGCAGCTCATATGAAGCATTCTAGATTGCAGATCTTTAGATCTCCAAAATTAGAAGATAGGATGAATTTCTATGTTTTTTTGTAATTAAAGTAAAATATATATTTTACAATTCATGATCTCTATAGTTGAAAAAAAAAAATTCTACAAACAAAAGTTAAAAATATCTTAGTTTTAAACCAAATAACATGCATCTATCTTACTTACAAAAAAAATTTCATTGAAAACAATTATTTTGAGAACTGACTTCTAAAATAATTTTATAAATCAATTTTGAACAACAAGCTCTCATAAGCCTCCAATGTATGAAGAACATGCTCAATCAAATAATATCAAATCAAATCAAAGACTACGTAAACTGCTAGTTTAAGCCTGCAAGTTATTTTCCATTCAGTGTATTCTTAATCTTTTATTACTCACAAGTAAGATTAATTCTAAATAGTGAAAAATGTTGGGAAAATAATAAAATATTTTAAAAAAAAAATGTTAAAATTCATATGAGATTTAAAAGTAAAATAAAAAAGAAGGATGATTGTTGTGTGGATGGTGCAGTAATCGGGTCCACATAGCTGTAATGAAAGCGAAAAGAAGACTACAAACGCAATACCCCAGAAATTTGTAGCCCACCTCCGCCCTACTTCCCACACTAATTATAATAGAGAAGTCATTTTCAGCCTTGACTGGATTAATATAAATTTGAGATGCTGGTACTTTGCGAGATTTATGGGAGAACTACTGAAGCATGTGAAGCTCCTCGTATAATTTATAAAGGATCAATAGAGTTTGCTTATATAATCTTATGAACTCATGTTATTAGATATCGGTGTTAAACTAATACAGATATATTTAATTATATGATTTCTTCTTTTTAAATAACGACAACAATTAATGAGATTAAAAGGTTTAATCTCGATAATTATTGCCATTTTTTTATAAAATATGATGAATAATAAAATAAATAAAAGCAGACGATTTCGATCATTTTTAAAAGAAAATGTTTTTTAAAAGAATTGTCATTTTTCTCCTTTGGATGGCAGGATATTTTGGCAGATTATTTTTGCAACCAGGTCGAGAGAGTGGCAATTCCTGAGCCTGCGGCTTAATTGTCTTCCTCAACCTGTTTTTGGTTTCTTTCCTCATCCGGTTTTTGAGATTTTTCTATCTCTGAGAATTTTATTTTGCTAAACTGTTTTCTTTCTCTAGTATTTGCTTTGGGGATTTTGTTTCTGCCCCATTTTTGGACCTTGTAGGTTTTGGCAAGGTTTTTCTCTACTATTTTTTCTTTCTTCATTACATGTAACTAGTTTATATTAATGAAAAGGGCTAAAGTCATAATTTTTCCCAAAAAGAAAAAAAACATTTCTGGTAATTCCTGATAACTTTTCCTTCCTGTTTCCGCACCTTCTAATTCAAGCTTTTTGTCTTTTTTTTTTTATTTGGACATTTAGGTCAATTAAGGCAGACTCTCACACACATAAGACTCGAACCCAAGACCTCTTAATTGATAACTTAAGTTCCTACCCAATAGATCAAGGTGAACTGTGTAAAGCTTTGTCTTACAAAGATGCATACAAACTACAGACTTTTATAAGGAAAAACTAGTAAAACTAATACCGGTGAATTGGATGGCTGGAATTTCGTTAATATTCTTCCAATTATTATAGTAATTAAACAGGATCTGAATCCTAGTGCGAGGTATAAGCATCTTGTTTAGGAAGACTCCTTAGTCCTTAACAGGTAACCCGAATATGAACCAGTTCAAAAATCTTATTCCTACCTTGCTGGACATTATTGAAATTAACAAAAAAACAAAGCCAAGTAAAGGATTTAAGAAAAAGATTTTAAGTTTTGTCACGCAATATCTTTTAATCATCTACAGCACTACGGAAAAATAACAAAGTAAATTAAATTGGCTAATTTATTATTGAGAGATTTATAAATATATTAAAAAAAATTATGTATTTATATATATAATATTTAAATTTTTAATATTTCATACTTATTATCAATATATAACTTTAATATCAAATATGTCACTCATATGTTTCATTCCTACCATCCTATAAACTTTAATATTTCACCATTTCTTTTTAAAGTTTTTATCCAATGATAAATAAATAAATAAATAATTTAAATATATAAAAAATTTTGTGATACCCTTTGCCTTTGGGCATAAAGTTGTGCTTGAAAATGTGCGACCGAAATTTTGCCACTGAATCGAAAAATCACAATTTATTTTTTAATAAAAATTTATTTGCAGTGAAACTTTGCTGAAATTTAAAACATATGTTGTCCATAATTTATCAAATATATTCAGTAATTTTCAATTATAAATCCGTAAATATTGCAATTAAAATTTTATTTATCAAAATTTTACCCTAAAAAATGCAGTCCGGCTTACTCGATCAAGTTCTTGTTCAATGAGTAGTTTAATTGACGAAGCTTCAAGATAGAAAGAGAGAGAGTGCGTGCGCTTACCGGAACATGAGAATCGCGGGCGCTGCGTTTGGGATCTGTAGCAGAGAAAACGGTATAAACTAGAACAAAAGTTCCAATAATCTCAGCAGCAAGTCCCGTCCCCTTTGAATAACCAGGGGCCAGCACATTAGCCCCACCATTATACCTCACATAATACGCCTTCTGAAACCCCTTCACCAGACCCACCCCACAAATCGCCCCCAGACACTGGGCCACCATGTAAAGCAAAGCCCTCACCAGCGACACCTTCCTCGCCAAGAACAACCCGAATGTCACCGCCGGGTTTATGTGCCCGCCCGAAATCCCCGCCGTGCAGTACACCAGAATGAAGATCATCCCTCCGAAAGCCCAGGCGATGCCGAGCACGCCGACACCAGCGCAATCAGAGTCTACAGGGAAAGCATCTTGGTCTGACTGGTGTTTGTAGCCGATGACGGTGGCGATGGTGATGTAGAGGAAGAGGAGAGTGGCGATGAATTCGGCGATTATGGCACGGTAGAACGACCATTTGGTGAGCTCGTCGGCGTCGATTAGAGGGGCGGGAGGGGGATCGGTGTAGTCCCTGCCGGTGAATTCGGAGCTGGGGGCGGCGGAGGATGGTACTTCTAGGCTTTTGGCCATTTGGGTCTGATGGGCTGGACAAAGGAGAGTGAGGAGAGGATGGAATTGGGGGAATGAAGGGGTGGTATTTATTGGGTTGGAGAGTGAGAGCTCTATCGGGAGGGAGGAAATTATTGAGGATAATAAAATTAAGTTATATGATTTGTGTATAATGTGCTTATTATATATATTTTGCATATAAGTTGTAGGTAGAGTGTGTATAATTGGAGATGATTTTTTTACTGTTTTTTTAATAAGTTTTTTAGTATAAAAATTTTAATTTTTTATTAAAAAACTATTTTAAGAAATAATAAGAAAACTGTTTTAAATGATAATTATTTATTTAGATTATTTTAATTTTTGCATGATGCATATATTTATCATAAAATTTTTTGGGTTTGTTAGAAAAATAGTTAAATTAAAAAAATAAAATTAGAAAATTTATCTACTTTAATGATTGAAAGTTTAATAAATACTAATTTAATTCATCTTTTAATAATAAAACTTTAGCCTTTTAGGTATTAATTTTATAAATATTAAAAAATTTATGATCAAATACGAATTTTTTTAATTATTATAGGTTTATGATTTAATTTGTATTTTTTTCCTATTTATGGGGTGTTTTGTTTGATCTGCCGTCCACAGTCGACTTGCAGAATAATTATTGGAGATGAAATGGGGCCCACTGCAACCTATTCTCCACGAGATCCACGACTGCCTATCTCGAATGTACGGAGTAGTTCTTTAAACTTGATTACCGGCGCTATTTAGTTCTATAAGGAACCAAGTGGCTGTTTGGTGTTTACGAGAAACATGGGATCTATCAGCTGATCATAGCTTCGCCGGAATTTTTTTAAAGATTATTATTTTAAATTACAGATTTTTTTTTACGGTAAATAATAGTTTTAAGCGGCATTGCGTCGCACGTTTTTAGCTCCCATGAGCCCGAAATTGTTTTGTGCGGATTCGTAGGTGAAGCAGATTGCGTTATGTCATGCGGTATATCTTATATAACAAAAATGTGATGTGGCGCTTCGTGATTCGCCTCTGGACATTGTCCGGTGGCCTCACAGAATAATTTCTTCCCACGAGCGTCCATTTGAATGCAAATGAAAACGTATTTTTACATTTTATTTCGACTATGAATAATGCGGCGCTAATATTGGATAGTGTGACTCCAATATTGACGTCGCACTATTTACAAAAACATTTTTTTTGTAGAAAAATGGAGGTTAGAAATAGAGATGAGACATAATAGATATAGAATATTCCCTTTTTTTTATGTTAGAAATGAAATTTGGTTGGAGATGAATTAATGCTTGATATGACGGTTATTACATTTTGAAGTGGAAATAGGTTTCTTCTATTGGAGATGCCCTTAGATTGCATTTATTTAGGATTTAAGCATTTAAAAGTAAAGTTATTGTGTTTAAAATATTTTGAATGATTGATTCTAGAAAAAATTTAAGAGATTAATTTTTTATTTGAATTGTTGTAAAATAAAACTAAGTTTTAAAATCTTTTAAATAAATTTTTTTATAAGATAAGAGTGGTTGGTAGTTGCAACTTGCGGTGTAACGGAGGCGAGCGGCAAAGGATGTGCTGTGGTTGGGGGCGATGAGCGACCAACGATGGCGGGCAAAGGCAGCAGATAGTGAGCAATGGATGGTGGGGAGGGTAACATGGTGCATTTTGAAATATCCTAAATTTGACAAATTTGATATACACAAAAGATAAATTAAGAGATAAAGATTATGCATATGAGAATTCATAACAATATAAAAAAAAAAGAGTATATATCATCTTAGCATTGTATAAAGATCTCCCTCACTCATATAAATAAGTAAAAGAACAACTCATAGGAGATAACAAGATTATGCATATGGAAACATAGAAAGAGAAAACTCATGGGGAATGTAAAAGGATTCCACTATTTTATGTCATATGGTACAAATGATCTGTTTTCTCATAATTGGAGAAAGTATTGGTATTTAGACGAAGTATTTTATGGTGAAAGTTTGAGGTGTCTTGGGACATTAGAGTTGTCTTTAAAAAATAGATTATTTTCTATTTGATCAATCATTTTTAGGAAAGGGGTTCAAAATAAAAAAATTATATAAAACATCTTGGTGTTAACATCAAGAGTTAGAGTTGGTGTCAACAGTATGCATCAATTTTATTGTTGATAGTGTGTATCAATGCTATAGGCGATTGCTGACCATAAAATTTGTGTTAATGGAATGCATCAATCTCATAGGTGATGGCATGCATCAACATTGGTGGCAACTACCAGTAACAAATCGATGGGCATTGACATTGGTTTCAAATATCATGTGCTAAACCTTATAGTTGATGGAGAGTGACGATAGTTGGGATAATCAGGCAACAATAACAAGGAAAATATAATCAAATGATGAATTAACGGTTGGAATATATAGTCAGCAATAATGATTGGGTGATAGTGATTGGGTGACACTATAGTTGCTAGCGAAGGTTGTTGGTGTCAATCATCGTACAATGCAATGAAGTTCTTTAGATATCTAAACTCTTTCTTAACTCAAGTCGCAATCACTTTTTATACAAAGAAAAAGAGTTTACTAATAGTATTTTATAAAAGCATTTTCATAAATTAAAAAAAAAAAAATAGAAAGTTTTGTAAAATGTTGATAAATTTTTATGAACATATAATATAACTACATTCAAGCTCAAGCTTTAATATTTGTAAGCTGAATAACCCTCGCTCCTCACATTATAAAAATATGCCAAATATAATCCATCATGCTTGTTGCGTGCTAGAATATACGCGGCGGTAGAGTTTGTAAATTTGCGTCCTAGCGTTGTACGAGTATTCAGCACACAAACAAAAAAGAGAAGTGAACACCAAGGTTTTTACGTGGAAAACCCGAAAGAGGGAAAAAATCACGGGGCCTCGCTCAATTGCAAAGTTCCACTATTATTTGTTTGAAGTACAAAGGTTGATCAGTCTTACAAATTAAGACGATCAATTTACAATCAACTTCTTACAAAATTACAAAGTTCTGCTAATTACCGGCGTTTTTCGAAAATCCGGCAGAGTTCCGGCGTCTTCAGGTGGCAGGAATAGCTCCGGCGGTGGTCGAGGATGAGCTTCTTCCTTCTCTTCCTTCTTCTCTTCTTCTTCTCTCTCTTCACTTGAGTCCCCTTTGTGTAGAATGAGGGCTCTATTTATAGTTTTTCTGGAATGGCATGGCTTGTAAATAGGTGTGAGATCAGGGGCGAATTGGGAGTGGTTTGAATGAACGGCCGATATTGGATCCTACGATCGTGCATCATTCATTGGACATTTGAAGGCCTTGATGATGTCGGAATCCGGCGATCTTGAGCTCGTTGGATTTGACTCGTCGAGCCGTTCGATTTGAGTATAAGCTCGTTAAAATCGGAGACTGTTTGGTAACTCGAATTGCGGTTTGAACCTTCCAGCATCGCTTCGGGTCCTTGATCCGGACTCATTTGGACTCGGATTGAGTTGAATTTGGTGTCGTTGGGTTCGTATTTCCGAGACGCTCAGTTTGACTGTAAG